GATTCTGTCTTCACAGTTTTACATGAACCGAATACATGGGACTACAAGAGAGCTCAGTTACAATGACAGAGTTCTGCTTAGAATCGCGGTACAGCCCACCGGGGTCCTGTTAGATTACCCCACGCAGCGCCGTGCACCACGCCGGGGCTCACCTGTGGGGACGCCGTGGGTCTGCCGCCAGCTGCCGGCCGGCCTGCTGCTCCTGGAGGCGCAGGGCAGAGCCGCCTGCCTCTCCCGGCTTCTGGATGCTGCCCGTACCCTGCAAGCTCGCAGCCCCCGCCTTCCGCCCTCCCCGCCAGAGTGCAGCCGCTTCCAATCCCCCTCCTCTGACCTCTGCTTCCGTCTGCAGATTGCCTTTGCTCCCCTCCGACCAGCTGTCTGCCCTTCTAGCAATCTCTGTGAACACCCGAGCCCACCTGGGTGGCCCAGGCTCACCGCCCCACCCCGAGGGCCTTACCTTCATGCCAACAACCCTAGGAAAGGTTTTCAAAGCAAACACCAGTTTAGAAAGCAAACAGCGCCTGGGCTCAGTGGGTGAAGCTGCCGCCTGGGCTGGGGCCTGCCTCTGATTCTGATCCAGCTTCCCAGGAAGCAGCAAACAGTGGCCAGGTCATCAAACCTCCCGTCACCCACCTGAGACACCCAAAGGAAGCTCCAGGCTCCGGGCTTCGGCCTGGCCCAGCCCTGGCTGCTGCAGGCATCTGGATAGTGAACCAATGGGTGGAAGATCTCTGTCTCGTGGTCACTCTGCTTTTCAAAAACAAACGTCTTTAGTCACCCGAGGCCTCACCCAGTTGGTCCTTGGTTCACTGGACATGACCTTGGCAGGTGCTGCCTGCTTCCTGGCCGAGCACACCATCAACGCTTCAACCACTCTGGAACTCAGGGATTAACCAACCCTGGATCCTTTTATTTATTTATTTATTTTTTATTTTTTGACAGGCAAAGTGGATAGTGAGAGAGAGAGAGACAGAGAGAAAGGTCTTCCTTTTGCCGTTGGTTCACCCTCCAATGGCCGCCACGGCTGGCGCACTGTGGCTGGCGCACTGCGCTGATCCGAAGCCAGGAGCCAGGTGCTTCTCCTGGTCTCCCATGGGGTGCAGGGCCCAAGCACTTGGGCCATCCTCCACTGCACTCCCGGGCAACAGCAGAGAGCTGGCCTGGAAGAGGGGCAACCGGGACAGAATCCGGCGCCCCAACCGGGACTAGAACCCGGTGTGCTGGCGCCGCAAGGCGGAGGATTAGCCTAGTGAGCCGCGGCGCCGGCCCCCTGGATCCTTTTAAAGAAGTCAGCATTACGTTGCTGTGAACACCCAATAAAATAGATTTGAAAGAGAAACATCAAGTGCATTTTTTAAAAATAACAGTCTTTGAACTTGTGTTTTATTTATTTGAAAGGCAGAGTTAGAGAGGTCGTCTATCCACTGGTTCACTCCCCACATGACCGCAACGGCCAGAGCTGCACCGATCTGGAGCCAGGAGCTTCAGCTGGGTCTCCCACGTGGGGGCAGCGGCCCAAGCACCTGGGCTAGCCTCCACTGCTTTTCCAGGCAATTAGCAGGGAGTGGCATCAGAAGTAGAACTGCTGGGACTCGAACTGGTGCCCATACAGGACACCAGGGCTGCAAGCGGCAGCTTTGCCCACTAAGCCACAGCATCAGCCCGTGTCTACACTTTCAAACGTGATTCTGAGACAGCCCTGCTGTGCACGCAGTGCCCGGCCTCATGCCTGCTGTCTTCCACGCCCTCTCTCTGCAGTGCACCCTGGGTACCGCACTCAGATCCGCCTTCCGGGAGACTCGGCTGCCCAGCTGTTAGTACCAACATTCCCGGAACCCCGAGCCAGCGCTGAGAGCCTGGGCCTTCTCACATCAATCCTGCACCTCTGTGTTCAACGTTCTGTAGCGAGCTCGTCTTCAGCAGCGTCCCTCCGCCTGGGGGGGGGGGGGGGCTAACGGAGAGGATTATGGGAGCCCCTCTAGGGCAGCTGAGGAGTCCCTGGGTGTCCCCAAGCTACGGTGACTCTGGTGGGAGTTTCCCAGGTTGGAGTTTTGTGGGCCACACGGGCAGTCGGGAAATCCCGTGCGGGAGACCCAGCCGCAGGCTTTCCCAGTCAGTGAAAACCGCTCTGTCCGGGCAGGGCGGGCGGCTTTTCCAGCAAACCCTCAAAGCCTTGGGTTTCAGGGAGGCACAGGCCCACCTGGGGCCGGTCTGAGGTCACAGCTCCTTCCACACAAGCACAGACGTAGCCATCATTCACCAGACCAACGCCTCCCTCGCGCCCAGTCAACACCAGCCCTCTCTTTTCTTCTTTTCTGTGACCTACGCTGTATGTTAACAATCATCTTGATGGATTCAGAAGTCCTACGAGGTTTAATGTAACTTTTTACTGTGAAATATTTCAGACATACTTAGTTTTTAAAATTTATTTGAGAGG